TCCCACATGGTGCGGCAGACCTCTTCTGTCTCACCTGCTGCTCCCCTCAGCACATATTTCGTCAGTCTGCCTGTTCTGTTCCCCGCTCTGTCTCTGCCTCTCACCTTCCCACGCATCTGGCCTGTACCCCGGTTCTTGTATAAATAAAAAAATCTTAAAAAAAAAAAAAGAAATACAAGAGAAGCCCAGTTAGAGCTCACGGGACCCTGCCTACCTTCCCAGTGTCCTCAAGAACAGAGTTTTCCAAACTGGACCTGCTTTTCTTCACTTGCTATATGGGATTATTTTTAAACAGTGCAACAGACAAATAAGGAGGAATGAGAAGAAAAAAATTAGGAAACAAGATCCCATAAAATTAAAACATTAAAAAGTTAAAATAATTTTAAAAAACCACAGCCCATCTTGAAGATCATTTACACATTTTATGTAAATAAAGTTCTGATTATCCCTTTTAGAGTTACAGGAATCCCTATGCTATTATTTTATGATAGAGTTTTGAGAATTATGTAACAAAAGAAACACAATTATTGATCAAATTAGAAAAAATACCATCTTCACAGAACTCGAGAATTTATACACAGTCTCTTCCATACAACTTAATCTTTGCTTTCTAATATTTTAGCACCCTATAATGTCTAAGAACTCACTAGCACCGTTTCTACAAGTGATGAAGTCTCAGTGTCAGTTCCTTGTCCTGGGAAGCTCTGCTCACTAAGGTGAGCCAGATGTTCTGATTGGCTTTATTTCCTGAGATGTCTACCTTAGATTAAACCTCAAACTGCTCTTCAGTATTTCCCATCCAATAGAGTCCTATGAGAAGTCAACTACCACTTAAAAAAAAAAAAATCCAGACTCCTAGCTTCTTGAAGTCAGCAATCTCAGATTCATGCTCCCATGGCAACAAAGGATTTCTAGTTTAACACAGTCCTACCACTCCCTGTTGACTTTTTATTAAGTCCGAATACCTAAGCTCTTTATCATTGCATTTACACTATGGTTTCTTCAAAATCTAACCTCCTTTACTTATTCATAATATGTGCTAGTTCCTGCAAGCATTAGAGACACCTAATCACAATCCATGGTCTCTAAAGCATGAGGATACCATGCAATTGTGTGTGTTTTTTTTTTTAAAGATTTATTTATTTATACAAGAACTGGGGTACAGACCAGATGCGTGGGAGGATGAGAGGATTCACCAGAGACAGAGCAGGGAACAGAACAGGCAGACTGACAAAATACATTGCTGAGGGGAGCAGCGGGCAAGACAGGAGAGGTCTGCCACGCCATGTGGGATTCTCCCCTGCCGGCCAGGATCAAACCCATGCTGCAGAGGCTGCAGACAGCTTCACAGCGCGGCGCTCAACCGCCTGCGCCACCAGGGAGGCCCACAATTGTGTTTTTGATATCTGTTAATTGAAAGATACAAAGGGGGGAAAAAAACCTGTAATTTCAGCAATACCTGTAACTGAATTTATGTTTTATAAATCACCATGACATCAACAAATATTTATATTTGTTGGAAGAGGAATGCATAGTTGATAGGTAATACATGGCACACACATGGAACAGTGAACCTCTTTTTATCTCATGAGTTTGAAGCTTCTACTATCCCCATTTTATTTATGAGGAAACTGAGTAAGTTAAATGACTTACTCAAGAGCCAGTGCCTGAACCAGAACTCAGATCCATCTAAACCCAAATCTCATGCTCAGAGCCTTTTAACAGTTCCACCAGTGCAGCTTCTTTTTTAGAGAGCTTAGACGAATTCTAGCCAGGTACTCATGTTCAGTAAGTATTGAGAAGTTGAAAATTTTGTGATAAAATTCCAGTGATATAAATATACAATTGAGCATTATTTCAGTATATATTGTAAAATAAATTTCAATATTATAGCTATAAAATTAAAGCCCCCTGAGCATCATTCTACTTTACAGCATATTAAACTTTCCTTTACCAATGTAGGAATACCTATATTGGTAATCACAGCAAATATGAGTTTCTTACTTAATTCCATTCTTTGTTTTAACAGAACCCTGGCTTTGCTTATGATAAACATATGTCCAGTTGGAAATACTCATCAGATTGTCATGTAGTCAGAGGTGGTTTGGAAACCCATTTCTGAACAATAAAAAAAGCCTCTGGGCAGGGCCCTCAGAAAAGCTATTGTTTTCCTAATATGAAGACAGCATACTCTGATAGAATGCCTTTTACTTTCATCCTCCCGCCCATGCCTTGTGTTGCCTGAGTGTAGATACAATACATTGCAGAAGAGTGCCCACCTCATTATCATGATGATAACACCACATGCTGGTGGAGGAGAGCGGAAAAAAGAGAGAATGAAAGAGAAAGAAAAAGAGAAAATGAAAGAGAAAGAAAATTGAAAATGGGAGAGTGAGTATGAAAAAGAAAGAGAGAAAGTGAAAGAGAAAAGAAAAATAGAGAATGAATTTCTTTACACCAATGTACAAACAAAAAAAAATCCATGCACAAAAATAGAAAGGTGTTGGGAAACACCTACAAGAAGATTAAAAAACATAGGCAATATCTAAACTTAACCAAAAATTAATTCTGTGTTAAGAAAATAATCACATGATGGAATGGTGGAGCATGCATGGCATAAAGCAGTAAGTGTAAACAGTATAAGTTACAGTACAGTTATGGCAGGTTTAGAATCTCATGTTTAAAGGGCTCCAGATCTAGAACAACTGGGTTCAAATCCTGGTTCAATCACTTATCATTTGGGTGATGACAACATGCTTAAGTTTTCATACAGAAAAGTTGTTGCTTGATCCTATCAACAGTTAAGATAACATTATAGCATTATATAAAATATAGCATAATTCCTATGGTGATTAATTGCTTGTTTTCAATCAATTTTTTAATGAAATTTCATCAGCCACAAAATGTACTCAAGACATAAAATTAATTCTGCCACCCAGTATCAAGTAAGCAAAGACAATCAATGGAAATAGTATAAGTGCAACACTGGGGCTAGCAAAAGCCAGGCTAAACTAGTTCTGCTGCAGGTTAAGCACATCTGGAAAGCAGTTCAAGTCTTCCAATACATGCTGGGCTATCCCATCCTATTCTACAAGATTGGGTCACCACTGCCCCACCATTATCCTACCACTGCCCCACCATTATCCTATCACTTTTTATCCTGAATGTAGATTAAATGTTATCCTTACCCATTAACTGTAAATATATACCCCACTTCTCTTGACTTCTTGACATACCTAATAACAGGCATGTCTACACTGGCCAAGTAAAAGTTACCTTCAGAAATGGAGTCCTTTTTGCCCTCAGGAGTAAAGTAAGTGTGTGTATACATGTGTGCTCTACTGGCAATTTCACTTATGTCAGGTTTAAGTAGCACATCTTCCCACCCAGTTTAAACTGGACATACAAAATGAATGTAGGCAGAAATGTATACTAAACATATAGTAATAATATGTCTCTAAAATTTAAAAATATACTAAAATTTCCATAGCATCTTCTTTTTTAACCTTCAACTGCCGAACTTACAAATTTTCCTAATATAAACATGAATGTACAGAGCACTTTTAAATGTGAAATCACATTTAATCACATTGCAAGAAAATGCAATTTCCTGAACAATCATAAATAGTGAAACTAATAAAGAGTAAAATGCTGGGTCAATGAACACCTTGAGCAAATATTAAATGAAGACCCTTACAGCATGACTTCAATTCCCAAAATAATATAGTAACATACTAATGTTACAGAAAAGTCATGCAAATAACCTCAGCTAGAACACATCATCTTTGTTGCCTGTTTCTGAAACTATGCATTTTACAAATAACGTCCAGTTAAATTCTCCTAGCATTCAAATTTACTTTGAATCAAATCACTGTTCTTAGCACTGTATAAACTATATTAAACTTCTCTAAGTCAATATTCATTCACAAACACATGCAATCACATATAGTGCTGTACCTAATGAAATGGGAACAAATTCTAAGTTTTCCTTAAAATTTAAGTTGCAAACAGGCAACCTTTCATTTCTGTGGAAACTTCATTGGGTTTCCATCTTGTCAGAGTTTTGTTTTCCATATCCAAACATAGGAAAGGTCAGCAGTGGGCATGAAGCATGGGACCTCCAAGGTTAACAGCTATACAACACACTCCTGAGCAATCTGCATACTCTCCTCTGCGAGGCACAATTGGGGACAGGAGGAAAAGCTGGCGGCTGTATGATCTGCCTCAACTGAGCCACTCCTGAACAGAGAAGGCCACACACAAATTCTATATTAAGTTTTAATTACTTCTCACTCTTAAGCAGATCTAGGTTAAAGACATCCTAATGAAAATGGCTTTACACAAAACATAAAAAACAATACCAAATTTGATAGAAACACAAACGTATGTTTCCATGAGTGATATCACAGTTCTTACTAGACATGAAAATGGTTAAATGTTTGATATTTAATTACATATGTATTTCTCACAAATGAGTACTGCCTAGTTTACTGGATATTTGGGTATTACTGTGGTTACTGCCAATTAATTCAGATTTGATATGATATATGAGAAATCAAGATACAAAACTACTCTTGAAATGGGCAATTTTCAATCCTATAATTTATGACATATTAGGGAAATTTTTAAAGTTTGAAATGACAATCTCAAATGGAACTCGTCAACAAAAACTCTTTGAGTAAAATGTTCTACACTCTTTCTTTCCTTAAAGATATTATGTCTTATAAGTATTCTGATATTTTAGCAAGTCTTTAGCTCAAAGGAATATGAATTCTGACAGGCAACCAGAATGCTACTTCACAACAACAACTGATCAAAAAATACTGTAATGAAAATCTCTTATCCTAAAAGCCAGTTAGTACTCCTCAGGCCTTGTGAAATTCCAACAACTCTAGTGAAGATAATTACTTTCTCTTCCTGAAACATCTTAACATTTTAATTTTTATACCCATGCTGTGTATCAGCGATGTTTATATCCTATATCTTTGTTAAACACTCACCTGTAATCTTTTGCAGCAAAGGTGACAATTCAGACTCCTCACAAAAGGCCTGAGTCAGTGCTTTCTTCACTTTTTCTTCAGCTTCCCCCAGATCTTTGTCCACAGTGAACTCCCCAGTGATAGAATAAATATATATCAGGAGAATCAACAGTTCTTCAGGACTGTAGTCATCATTGGTCCTCTGCTTCGAAGGCTTAATCATGGGCAGCAGCTGATTTAACACCACAGACATGGTAGACTCCCCAATGCTCTAAAAAAAAAAAAAAAAAAGGTGGTAATGTGAAAACATGTCAGTCTGGCACAAAGACATCATTTATGTACTACAGTATACCAAGGAGCGCTCACTGACTAGACTTTCTATTTGATTATTTCTTGTCCTGGAGAAAATACTGCAGTAAGTTTGAACAAATGAGTCTACTAGTTTTCAAAATTTAAAAGTAAGTACTTCAGAAGGCCTCCCTGGTGGCTCAGGGGGTTGAGCACAGTACTGTGGAGCTGTCCACAGCCTCTGCAGAGTGGGTTTGATCCTGGCCAGCCAGGGAGATACCCACATGGCATGGCAGACCTCTCCTGTTTTGCCAGCTGCTCCCCTCAGCAGTGTATTTTAGTCAGTCTGCCTGTTCTGTTCCCTGCTCTGTCTTTGGTGGGTCCTCTCACCCTCCTGCACATCTGGTCTGTACCCTGGTTCTTGTAAGCATGATAAATCTTTAAACCAAAAAAAAAGTAAGTACTTCAGATACTAGAAATTTAAAATAAATATATTTGTAAAGTAATGTGATTAAAAATAAAAGCATGGCAGCATCTGTCTATCTAAATGAATATTGATATTGACACTCCTTCAGAGGAATTTTGATTTTTCAACATATTCCTTTTTAATAGTCCCTGCACTGGCAGATAGAACTTTTTTTTCTTTATAACAATGAAAAGTCATTTTCTGCTAAATCTCGAGAATAGATTGGGGATCAAACTGGATAATGTCACAGTGTTCAAGGTATCTTCAGGTGAGTCTTAAGGTAATTTTACCTTAAAACTTTTAAAAATGTTTGCTTTCAGTTCTTTCACCAATTTCTAGAGTGCTATTTAGCAGATAACTTTAAAATTCTTCACAGGGGTCTCCCTGGTGGTACAAGGAGTTAAGTCTCAGCACTGTGAAGCTATCACCAGCCACATGAGTTCTATCCCTAGGCAGGGAGTTAACCCACTTATGGTGCAAAGCAGACCTCACCTGTCTTGCCCACTGCTCCCCTCAGCAGTGTATTTCAGTAGATCCACCTGTTCTGCTCCCCACTCTGTCTCTGGTGAATCTTCTCACTTCCCTACACCCCAGTTCTTGTATGCATAAATAAAATAAAAATAAACAAAGGGTGCAGGTGCTCTTTTGAATTAATGTTTCTGTGTCCTTTGGGTAAATACCTAGGAGTGGAATTGCAGGATCATACGGAAGTTCCATCTTTAGCAGGTTGAGGAATCTCCACACAGCTTTCCATTGTGGTTAGACCAGTTTGCACTCCCAACCTGCACCCATATGTTTATAGTAGCATGTAGAGTCAGGAAGGGCACAGTGCAGGTTTTCTGATCCCATGCAGACCGGGTAAAGGAGGAATCGGAGTTCTCAGTAGCTTTTGCAGGTTTTTTGTTTAGTTTTCCAGGTACATGGCAGGAAGGGGCGCTGGCCTCCCAGCCCCCCAGCAAGTCATCACTCTGGGCTCTCCGACCTTCTCTCACATTCTCTCTGCTCTTCCTATGGCTCTGCTTCTCTCTTGGCTTCTCTTTTGGCTTCTACTAGCGTCCTCATGACGCCGTCCTTAAAAAGCCCAGTCTCAGCCCAGGTGAATCCCATCTACCTATGCCCACACCCTAATTCCAGGTGCCCACCATCAGGCATGCATTCAGGACCACAAGGATCCATCATCTATCCTGATGGCGGGAGGGCAGAAAAGCCTGACATTTTTCCTTACCCTACATAGCACTATTTACGATAGCCAAGCTATGGAAACAATGCAAATGCCCAAAAATAAATGACTGGATTGAGAAGATGTGGTACATATACACAATGGAATATTACTCAGCAATCAAAAAAGATAAACTCATGCAATTTGCAGCAACATGAATGGAGTTGGAAGGGATCATGCTCAGCAAAATAAGCCAGAAAGAAAAAGAAAAATACCAGATGGTCTCACTCATAGCAGGAATTTAGAAAACCTAAATAAGGGACCAGGAAAAAGACTAATAATAAAGTAAAAATCAAAATCAACAAGCAACTATAAACCAGAGACAGACTACAGAGGGGGAGAAGGGAGTAGGATAAAAACAAGGGGGGTGGGAATTATATGGGCATTGTAACCAAGATGAAAGTGCATACACTGTGCAAAAATGAAAAATGATGTACAAAATATATAAAATATAAAATAAAATAAAATAAATAAATAAAATTCCTCACATATGACAACAATATTGCATTACAGGAGTAACCACATAACTTCCAAGGAACTATACCCATTTCTAGTACAAATGTTGAGATTTTTAGTGAATAGATACATCTCCATTTTAAGTAATGTAATTTAATTGCACTTATAAAATAAAATCTTATAAAATAAAAAAACTAAATTAAAATCAGGGGTCAAACATCTAAACTTGCAATTTTCACATTATTCATTCAGAAGTGTTCATTTAGCATCTACTGTGTCCCAAGTACTAATCTAGGTGTAGAGATTCAGCAATGCACTCTCGTTGAGGGAAGCAACTAAAAAGCTAAGAATAAAACACATAGTATACTAGATGGTAGTAAGTTCTACACAGAAAAATAAAACAGGAAAAGAAGATGGAACTAAGAGGGGTGCGTATTTATGTGTGTGAAGATGCACTTTTTTAGAGAGGAAAAACCATATTAAGAAGGGAGTGTTGGAATAAAGATCACGGAAACTCTTTTTCTGAATGAAGTTGACAGCAAGCAGCTGAGTGTGATTCTATATTGGAATGGCTACCCCAAAAGAACTTTACTAGTCATTTCCACACCTGGAAAAATCTGTCTATGTCATCTCAAGGTTAAGTTTCACAATTGCATTATTTAGTACATGAAAAACAGCTGTTGCAATTTACTTCCACTAAAAATCTTGGAGGTTCTGGATGTACCACACAAAAATGAAATGATAAGTCTTTGGAATGAATAAAGTAAAAATGGAAAAGAACAGAAATGAGATTTCACTGTTACAGCATCACATAGTCTCTTGGGAGAAACCTCTAAGTGTTTTTCTTTGTTTTGCCAGCCATCAAAAGCAATTTAAAAGAAAGGAGTTAGTTGGTGTCCTATTAAAAGAAGGGGGTTACAGCTTTTGTTTTTATTTTTTATCCTAACAACAACTCCTTGGATGATATTAAGCAGATTTCTTTACTGTATTATAGTCCATTCCTATTAAACAGATATATACATCAAGCATTTAACCTAGAGGAGCTATAATTCTCTCTCCAGAGTAGAGGGATAATTTTTAAACATAGTTGTAGAAAGTAAAATAGGGTAGGATAATCATCAAAGTCATTTGAAAGAATTCACTCACTAACATCTGACCATCAGAACATCACTTCAAGTTACTGATCTAAGCTATGTGGTTAGAGGACAAAAATCCCTCATTAGTGACATCCTAGCAAACTTCTCCTGCCTAAGTAGTATTTCTGCATAGTTACTTTTAAAATTACATCCTGACTTCCCTCATGCATCCCACAAAGTCAATAATTAAGGTGAATTTAAAATCAGGAATACAGATCAGTCTTACAGAAGCATGGGAGATTATAGATAGTGTGTAGCACAGGTTGATATATGTACATGTATGTAAAGGCCGGACAGGCCACAGTGCAGGTTTTCTGATCCCATGCAGACCGGGTAAAGAAGGAGCCAGAGTCCTCAGTAGTTTTGCAGGTTTTTTATTTGGGGTTCACCAGGCATATGGCAGGCAGGGGTGCTGGCTGGGGGACTGGGAGGCTGGCAGGCCTCCCAGCCCCCACAAGTCTTCACTCTATCTGGGCTCTCTAGCGTTCGTTCTGCTGCTTCTCGGCTTCTCTTTCGGCTTCGGCTTCTGCTTCTGCTTCTACTGCTGCTACTGGTGCTGCTGCTTCTACTGCTGCTGCTGGCGTCCCCGTGACGCCGCCCTTAAAAAGCACAGTCTTAGCTCAGCTGAATCCCATCTACCTATGCCCACACCCTATTCCAGGTGCCCACCATCAGGCATGCATTCAGGACAAGGATCCATCATCTATCCTGATGGCGGAAGGGCAGAAAAGCCTGATATTTTCTTTACCCTACAATGTATTTCCTAACTCTGTCCACTGAGAGAATCTAGTGACAGCCCAATGGCAATGAGCACACACAGTGGTCAGACTTTAGCTTCTAATAGCATTTTACAAATATAAGAAACCAGGGATCCTTGGGGAAATGGCTGATTCTAGGGGTGGGGGATGGAAAATATAGGAGGAACTTGTGGTTTCAGTTCTCCTTTAAAAAAAAAGGGGGGGGGCCTCCCCGGTGGCACAGCGGTTGGGCGCTGGGTTCTGAAGCTGCCTGCAGCCTCTGCAGCGCCGGTTCGATCCCCGGCTGCTCCCCGGCCACCAGAGAAGGGTCCCACATGGCGCGCAGAACTCTCCTGCCGCCCCCTGCTCCCCTCAGCAGTGTTCTTTGGTCCTTCTGCCTGCTCTGCTCCCCGCTCTGGCTCTGGTGAATTCTCTCACCCTCCCGCGCTTCTGACTGCACCCAGTGCTTGTATGTATAAATAAATAAATAAATTAAAAAAAAAAAAAGGATTCTAGAGCATGTCAAAAGGACACAAGAGATAACTGGAGACCTGCCAATGGCCAAAGCTAGAAAACCTGAGTAACAAAATAAAGGAATAATGGATTATACCCTAAAGTAGAAAACAAATATCCCTAAGTCCACGCATTAGTAAATAAATAAATATAAAAGAGACAAATCTTCCTTACAGAAGAATTCCAAATAACTTATTATTTAATACTCCCTCCTCCAGAAGGTAGAGCTTAATCTTCCACTACTTGAATGTGGGCTACACATAGTGACTTACTGCTCTAAAAAAAAAAAATCACATTTGGAAAGGAGAGGGAGGAGTCACTTGGCCTTATTAGCCAGAAGGTCAAAGTTAACACAGTGAAAAGTCATATTGACATCATGTTCGTAACATGATGTCATGAGAATAGCACTTCACTCTTGTGATATTCTCAAACCTGTAACCTCATGCCAAAAACATC